TTTTTGTGATTTTAAAATTAGTATTTGTGGAATTGTACGTTACATTTACATAAAAAAAAACAAGAAAAAGTACCCCCGCGACACTAATTTGATATTAAACTGACTTTGGTAAGTAACTAGATATGTTAAGTTGGCAACGCTGCGAAATCTTGTTACAATTAGTGTCGTCTGGCTATAATCCGGGCGAATTAGACCAAACACATGGCTGTTTCAAAAATCGGGCCTAAATCGAATTTTATGGGCTTACAATTAAGTAAAAAATATACAGAATAAAAGCCTAAATTTGTGTATTTGTAGAGGTCGAGATATTGTTTATAACAAAAGAAAAAAAACTATTACTCTTTTCAGTTTTCCGCTTATATCTCCGAAAATAAGCCTCTCATCGACATGTGATATTCTTATCGATTTTCTTCCTGAGGAAATTTGCTATAAAGGTAGGCTTTTGCGGAAGCTCGCAAATATTTTTTTACATTACAAAATTAGCAGTGAAAAAAAATGTGCAAAATTTTCAGAATTAAATAAAAAGAACAAATTTGACTGAAATTGGATGAAACTACAGGAAAAGATAACCGTTGGGGTGCTCAACAAATACCCGCAATTCGGACCCCGAATTTCAAAATGGCGGCCTATTGCAAAATTATAAAGTTGAAAACGTAACCGCGTATATTTTATGCCCAAGTCAACATATCGAAATTTTGTTCGAGGTTCGAAAGGTAATTACATTAACCGTATTCTGTAACTCCTAATAGAATAGAAATGTATAAAATCGAATCGAGATCAACCCATCAAATCGGAATTGGGCAACATCGGTATACTATAACTTGTTTCGATGTCTACTATCGAAGTTGGTAGAAATCGACGTCGATCGGTCAAACTCTGTCGAAGTGGTAGTTTTAGATATCGAGATCGGGTCACGCATGCGTTGTTGTGTTAGATGTGTCAGTTTGAGTTAAGCATAACCCCACAACCCACAATACAATCAATTTTTTTCCTTTTCGTGTTTTAAATCACAGAACTATAAAATATTTGTACGTCTTTACGTACGTGTATAAGTATATTTTTTATTTATCTAATTTGTGCATGGTTTATAATATTCTCTATCAAAGGGCTTAGTTTTACCATGAAGTAACAATTTGTGCAGCGTAATGAAATCTACCATGTAGTTCAGCTGCTCTGTAGAAGTTTTTTTCTTTATTGGAGTCGGAACTGACATCATTAATATTTTTCAGTACTGACCTTCTCGAAAGATTACAGCAAAATGAATGTATTTTTAAACTAAACTATACAATCTAGTAGGTAGGTACAATTAAATTTACAGAATATGGGATTTCCTATTAAAACACATCTGCAAGTCAACTGTGCGTAAATTCCACTTTTTATACCTGCGTTAAATGTTGTAAAAGGCACATTTATCTTATTTTTACAGCTAATTTGCATATTTCATATTTTGAAATTTCTAACCTCTCTAAATGTCACTTGGTTATTAAAGTGTATAATCGCAGGGCAATGCATTGTTGCCATTACGTTAAACCGGCATCGAATCGAAGTCTTTTTCTACGATTTGTAACTTCTACGATTTGAGTTACAGAATGCCAACTTTAGGAAACGATCGACGCGAAAGATATTGAACTTTACGAATTGCGAACATTTCGACTCGATTTGAGCATTTAGATGCAAGTTACAGAATAGGGCTGATTATCTCGTGTCTGTGCAAATTTCAGATTTTTAAGTTGCAAAATAAAAAAGTTATTAACAAAAAACCAAAAAAAAAAACGGTGTAACTAGGGTCCTTATCTCGGAAATTTTTTAATACACAGATTTCAAACCAATTGCATCAAATAGTGGTTAAAAAATATGAATTAAGAAAAAAAAAGAGTCTCGATCCGACCAATAGGAGCCGAGATATATTTTTTTTTCATTAAACGGTATTTTGCCTGTTCTATTTAATATTTTGGAATAAACTTGGTCTCGTAAAGTAGAAGACTTTCTTTATACGCTGAAGTTTTTCTGAGACGATTCGACAAAGTAAACATTCGTTAAAGGCAGCAAGATCCGCGCGGATGAGCGGTAGCCAGGAGAGGGGAGAACGCTGTGACGTCATAGTGCCCATGCTGCGCTCGACTTCTCAAAATTCTTACTTAACAAATGGATTGTGGCACTTAGAAAGCAGCTACCAGGATGCTTTCTTTTTAAATCAATTTATTTTTTCCGCTCTTTCGAGTGGTGTAAGCAAAAGTCTGTGAAAGTCATCGCCAGATCCAAAAAAACTACATTTTTATTAACTTTTCGCGTTTTCTTTTGTAATTTCATTGTGCTTTCGATATTTTGTAAGTAAGGGGATCTTTTTACGTATTTAAAAACAAAAGTCAATTATTTCATTGAAAAAAAAAACATGAATGAATGAAAATTTACCGTGCTCAGAACAGGTCGACGTATAAAATATCGTCTCAAAATTAACTGTTACACTTATTGCATAAATTGTGTCTAGAATATTATTGAATGTTACAATATCAACATTACATATAAGTATTGCATTTTATAGTATTTAAATGAACTGTTACATTCAATATATTTTAGACTTTTGCCATTTTGCCACATTCAAGCCACGAGCTCTACAACGTAAACCATTAACTTGAAAAATTCGTCGATGTCTAAACTATATTATACATTAAATATTTATTTTGCTTTTAGTATTTATTTATATATACTTATTCTTTTTTATATTATCCTTTTACTTTAAATTTAATAAAATATGTTCCTCAAACAATGTTGATCTTACAATACAGGCGTTCTGAACACTACATGAAGTGTTCAGTGTTGTAAACCGGGTAACAGATTCGTGTTCAGCATCCTCGAAAATAGGGGGGCAGAAAAAATTTTGTGACGATTTGGGAGGGTGACGGTATAGTAATTTATTACTTACCTTATCATAATAATAAATAATAATAATAAT